CTCCCTCCCTCAGCGCCCGCTTTTCCCCCTTCTCCTGCCTCTCTAAATATTTTTTCCTTTCCCTGCACTTCTCCTCAGAGGGGCACTTGTGCCGGGCTCGGGGCGCTGCCAGCTCCAGAGCCGCTGCCAAGAGCAGCCAGGCTTTAAGGTCGCTCCGTGCCGGGAGGAGCGGGGAGCCCCCGGGGACCCCCGCAGCATCCTGCCCTCGCTGGCTGATGGGGACGCCCCGCGGTACCCTCAGGAAAGGGGAGCACACCCCCCCCACAGGGTTTCCCCCCCCCAAGCAGCAGCCCCCGGCTCTTTTTTGCCAGGCAAAACCCACCAGAGCGTCCCCGGGAGCGTGCGTGGCTCGCTGCGGGCACGATGCACGTGTGGATGTCGGGGGGGACAAGGGCCACCCCGATGTGTCCCCCTCTGCAGAGCCGACGTGAGGAGCCCTGGACATCCCCAGGGCAGGCAGGAGCCCCCCCTACCCCCCCCCCCAGGACCCTCTCTCGGGTGCTGGCAGCACCAAGCACCGCAGCTGGATCTGCCCTCCCTGTGCCGGCTCCGGAGGGCAATTGTCCCTGAGCAATGCCCTGTCAAACACCGAAAGCACAAAGTGAGTCATTCTTAAGCACTGGATGTTCCTGTTCATCCCACGGCCCTGGAAATCCTTCTTTAATCATTGCCAGAGTCTTGGCCTCCATGACATCCTGCAGCGAAGGCCCGCACGGGCCAAAGGAGTGTTGGGTGCAAAGGATTTCCTTTGAAATGTGTTTGACACTTTCATTTTCACTGCCTGCCCCCTCTGCCTGCGATAGAAGAGATGGAGAACGGCCGGAGAGCAGCCCCCCGCTCTGCCCCACACCCCCTCAGCTCCAGGGATTTAACGAAAAACGAATCCAGGTCGGGCAGGGGGGTTTCCAGCAGCAATAGCTGCAATAGCACAACCTCCTATTAGACACCAGAGAATCCACACGGACAAGCAGCATCCTCGAAGCAGCTCCAGCTCACCTCAGCTTAAAGCCCTGGGCTGCAGCCTGGGGGTCCCGGGTCACCTCCCCATGGCCGCAGGGCCAGGCTGTGGTGTGGGCACGGCCAGGCAGTGCCCGGTAGCCCATCTCCCCCCCCAGACACCCCCGGGGGGGTCCCGCAGGGGCCCCCGGTGCCGTGGGGCGGCTTCTGCGTAACACGGCTTTTACCCGGGCTGTGTTTGGGGGGGGCTGGATATCTCTCTGCTGTGCTGGCGAGAGCCCTCCCTCCATCAGGAATCCGGGGGGGAGGATGAGGCTGGCAGTGAGGCTGCGGCACCGAAACAGTTCCTATGACAACCCCAAATCCCAGACCTGGTTATCCCCCTTTAATAAAAATCCACAATAACTGTGAAACTGGGGAATAAGATTCAATAAGTAAGACGCGAAATAAATCAGGAACAGCGTAAAGCATGTCACCGCTTCCCTTCGGCTTTGTTCCTTGCTTTCCAAGGAAAAGCCGGAGAAACGGGGAGCTGCGAAGGGGCGAGCTGGCGGGTTTGGGATTGGTGGGAGCAGGGTCCGGCCGTGCGGCAGCCCAGGGCTTCTGCCTCCGGTTCCAAAGCTCTCCCGGCAGGAGCGCAGCCCCGGGCAGTCAGCGGGCACAGGCGAGACCTGTGTGACAATTCTTGGGGACGATCGAAGTGTCTCTGTAACCCTCACGCCCTTTCCAGCCCCCTCAAAACATCCCAGATGTTCCTGCAGCTTCTCATGCTGCTCCCCGTCGGTGTCCCGGCACAGCATCCCCACGGCATCGCCTGGCCCCCACGGCATCACGGGGTCCCCACGGCATCGCCTGGTCCCCACAGCACCCTGGGGTCACCACGGGGTCCCCATGGCATCACCAGGTGCCTGTGGGGGCCCTGTGGGTTCTCTGCCTCCCACCGTGAGGCTGGAGCATCCCAGGGCAGGGCACGAGGCGTTTATCCCCGTCTCTCCCCTTTTCTCCGTGCTCAGTCCTGGCTCCAGCACAAGCTCAGCTTTGTCCTGCTCCCCCGCGAGCGCTGCCAGCCTTCTCCTGTCCCCCAGGACACCAGGGAGACGCCCAATTCCCCCCGCTTCGGCCAGCCCCACGCACTGACTGAGACCATGCTCTTCCTCGGCATTAATTAAACCACTGCTCCCCCTCCCCTCGCTGCCAGGGCCAGCCTCCTCCATCAGTCACGCTCTCCGGACTAATTGCTTTCTGTTATTCCATGTTTTCCATTGGAGGCTCCTGCTCCCCACTGGCTCTTGGCACAGCCCATGCCTCCCACACTGGCTCCCTGGCACGGCACGGCACGGCACGGCACGCACCGCCATCCCGGCAGGCCCTGCCAGCCCTCTTGCCTCGGCACCTCCAGGAGCCGTTTCCCACCTCCCGGGGCCGGGACTGGAGCAGATGCTGGGGCAGCCTCTGAGCATCCCCCTGGCCCTTCCCCAGCTCCTTCTCTCTGCCTCTCCCCAGGGCAGGGTCCCCACAGACACCCCCACCCCCCCAAAACGCAGCTCAGCCTCTCCCCAGCCCTTTGGCTTGGCTTTCCCCACCCCACGAGCTCCCGGCACTGGAGGAAAAGCCCGGCTAAACCCCCCACCCCCCCCCAGCACCACCCATGTGCCAGGCTGGTTTGCTGCCACGGCTTCACCCTCCCCGCTCCTCCACGGCACCGCCCTGGGGTGCCCCTGCACGGGGGCCGGCAGTGGGACGCACCCCAAAGCCCGGCGGGGGCACCGAGCCCCCCCTCAGCCGCCACCTCCGCTCCGCACCGCGCTGCAGCCGCCTTTGCTCGGCCCGGCTGCGGGAAGAAGGAGCCCGGCGGGGCCCCGGCATCACCCCGCGCCCACCATCGCGCCTCTCGGCCCGGCACAAGCACCCATCTTTCTCCCTCGAGCACCCAGCGCTGCCCCCCAAACGCGGTGCTCCCCAGCACGCTCCTACCTCGTAGGCTTGGGCCCTTGTTTGTGCTTTCACTGCCAGCACACCCCGGACTGGTGGCTTAAAGGATTTTTCCTATAATAACTACCAAATCCCTCCCCCGGGCAGTTAAGCCGCAGTCCTGGGCCCTCTCCTAGGTGCAGAGCTCTCCACAGTGCTCTGCTTTGCTATACGCTTGTATCAAACTGGATTTCCCCTCTCCTGCCCCAGCCCAGTGCTTAAAAAGCCCTAAATCCCCTTGAATTTTGTTTCCCCTTGTCCGCGAGGTCTATCCCCAGTTTCGGCCTCACCCCTGGATTTTACATACCCCTGCTCCCCGCGCAGAGGCTGGGCAGCCCCCGCATCCCACTCGGGACCCGGGTTCACCCCGGTACCCCCACACCCCGGCCCCTCGGGGCCGGTGCAGAGGGGACCGGGCTGGGGCCGGGTGCTGGGGGTGGCACTGATGGGGCCCTGCGCAGTCAACTGCCCCCCCCTGCCACCGTGCCCACGGGGGGCTGAGTGCCCCCCGAGAAAGAAATGACCCCAAAGTGTCCCCAGGCACGTCCCCCAGAGCAGGGGATGCTTATTCAGAGTCATGCAAATGAATTTCAGTAGTGAGTCCTCTCCCCGCCATGACACTTCTCTCCCCAGGAGGATCTCCGCTGGCAGATAAGGCTCCCCTGGGTACACGCACGCTGCTACTTCATGCTGTCTTGTTTCACTTCTCTTTTTCCACTTCACAATAAAAAGCAAAGTTGGAAACCGGCAACTGCAGCAGCTTTCAAGGTTATGGGCAGCAGCAGGACCAGCAAGTTCCTCTGCCTGGAAAGCGCGTTTCGGCCGTGGCCGTGGCTGCAAACGGGGGGTTTGCTTTGCTTGCGGCGGCACACGGGGCGGTGGGAGCGCCTGTGGCCACGGGTGGGTGCGCGTGTGCACGGCACGTGGGGTGCAGCCGGGTGCTGCGGCGGTGCCTGGTATGGAGTGTGCACCCCGCAGCTTCCTCCCCTCGGAGCTGGGCACTGAGCACACCTGCACGGAGACGGGGATGTGCACCCAGCAAGTGTGCACGGAGCGGGAGATGCGCACGGAACAGATGTGCATGGAGCAACATGCATGGAGCAGATGTGCACGGAGCAATGTGCATGGAGCAGGTGTGCACGGAGCGGGAGATGTGCATGGAACAGATGTGCATGGAGCAATGCGCATGGAGCAGATGTACACAGAACAGATGTGCACAGAGCAGGAGATGTGCATGGAACAGATGTGCACAGAGCAGATGTACATGGAACAGATGTGCATGGAGCAGATGTGCACGGAACAGATGCGCATGGAGATGTGCACAAAGCAGATGTGCACAGAGAGAGGGATGAGCATGGAGCAGATGTGCACGGAGCAGAACATGTGCATGGAACAGATGTCCACAGAGCAGATGTGCACGGAGCAGGAGATGTGCATGGAGCAGATGTCCACAGAGCAGATGTGCACGGAGCAGGAGATGTGCACGGAGCAGATGTCCACAGAGCAGATGTGCACGGAGCAGATGTGAATGGAGCAGGAGATGTTCATGGAGTTGTGCACAGAGCAGATGAGCATGGAGCAGGGGGATGTGCACAAAGCAGATGTGCACAGAGGAGGGGATGAGCATGGAGCAGGACACTTGCACAGAGATGGGGATGTGCATGGAGTGGATGTGCACGGACTGGCTGGGGCTGGAGCAGGAGGTGTGCAGGGATCGGGGGAGAAGGGCTAGCTGGTGCCAGCTGCCCTGATTTTAACAGAGCATCACGGGCCCCATTCCCAAATCCTGGCCCATGGGGAGGGCAGGGAAAGGCGGGCGAGGGCTGGGCCTCAGGCCATGAGCCGCAGCAAAGTGCCACCGAGGGCTGTTCCCACAAGCTGCCCCACGCGTGGTCAGAAGATGCAGGTTTTGGGGAGCCAGGCAGCCATCCTGCCTGGGGGAAGCTGCCCAGGGGGGCTCAGCATGAGCCCACAGCAGCGCGGGGTGAGCGGGCACGGGGCTGCGGAGGGCACGCGTGTGCCAGGATCCGCGTTACTGCTCTTGCTCCGAACACAGCGAGGCTGACAGCACGGCTGTTTGCTGGCTTTAATGAGGACGGGCTCGGTACGGTGACAAGGTAACAGAAATGATGGACCTGCTGAGCCAGGAAAGTGCTGGTGGTGGCCTGTCCTGGTGGAGACAGGCACGTGTGATGTCCTCCCGGTGGAATCGGCACCGAGCAGCTTGCACAAGGCAGAGGTGCTCAGCTTCGTGGCCTGACCCTGTGTTGGAGGTGGCTGCTGGGTCCTGACAGAGCTGCTGCTGAGCCCCGGCACGGTGGGTCCGGCCCTGAGCCTCACCCTGCACCGCTGCTGAGATGGGAAGGAATTCGGGGAGCTTTGCCAGCTCCCAGCACGGCGTGCCGAGCTTGGGCGGGGGCATGCCACGCAAACAGATCTACTTCTTTATTGTGCCCTGCAGAAACATCCCTGCTTCCTCCCCCAAAAAGAGCTCTTTGGCCTCGCAGGCTGCGGTGCCACACGTCACTTGGCAGCTACCCTGATGCTGGCGTACTCGGAGCAGGCTGCGCCGGGGCTCCGGCCGCGCTGCCGGGCTGCGGGCAGGGGCTGGAGATCGGCGTAGTGGATGTCATTGTCTTCCTTGCTGGTTTTCTGCAGAAGGGCACGCAAACGGTTAAGGCGGTCGCTAGGTAAATCTTGCAAAACCAAACACCCAAATGGCAGGTTGGAGCTGGGACGGCGGTGCCACGGCTGCACAGATGGCCCCGCGCCGTGGTGCGGAGCCTGCCAGGACCGGTGCTCACCCAACGCCCACCCTGGCCGCGGCGCCTTGCAGCGTCCCTGCGAGCCAGGGCATCAGCTCGGGATGCTCTTCCCCAAATTTACGGCTCACCCTTACCTGGCTGGGCAGATGTGAGCGCTCGGCATCCAGGATTTCGCTGCTGGGGGAAAGGACAGCCATCAGCCCTAAAGGAAGCCAGATCCCCTCCCCACCAAGCACAGCGCTCCTCAATTCCCCCCCTTGAATTTTAGCCGGGCTCTGTGGCACGTGGCCGCACACGACGTCCACGCCGCAGGCAGAGGGACAACACGGTGCCTGTGTGCCCGGGCCGGGCTCAGACACCACGGTGAGGGGCTGCAGGGAGGTCCCTGGCGCTGGGTGCTCCCCGCCACGTGCTCCCGTGAAACACAGAGAGAAGCAACGCGGCGCAGCGATGCGCCCGTGAGGAAAGGACCTTTCCTGGGGAAAATTACTGCTCCAGAGGACCAGGATAAGGCGGGTGGATAACGTGGTTTGCTCGTCTCAGGGTGCCCAAGAGGCGGTGGGTACAAACCTGGGGGTGCTGGGGGTCCCTGCACAGCACCGCAGTGGGATGGGCAAGAAGCTGCCCATGGCCACTGGCCTGGCCAGGCACTGGCTATCTGCCTCGCCTCTGTGCTTCCTCCTGTACATGCAAAAGACGATGAAGAGGCCGAGGAGGAGGAGGAAGCAGAGCATTACAGCTGCAGCCACCATGCTGGGAACCAGGGCTGCATCTGTGGAGATACAAGGCAGAGCGGGGAAGGGGTGGTGGGTGCAAGAGGCAGCACAGGACCCCGCTGTGGGCAGGATGGGGGCTGTGGGACGGGGTCCCCGGGAGCAGCGTCCTGCTGGGAGCCCCACTCACTGTGTACGGACACCACCGTGCCCTTTCCACGCTGGGACACCTCATCAGCACTGCCCAGCAATTTGCGGAACTTCACGCAGTAATAGGTGCCGGCATCCTCAGGTTGAACGTCGCTGATGCGGATGGTGAAGTCTGTGTTGGACCCATTCTCTGCCCTCGTCACGCGGGGGAAGGAGCCCGTCTGCTCATAAATGGTCTCGTTCCCGCTGCCCCAGCCCTTCAGCCACTTCACGGGGCCAACGAGGCCGCCCCCAGACGTGGTGCAGGTCAGGGTGAGCGTGTCCCCCGCTGCCACCGACACCTTGTCCTGGGGCTGCAGCAGCTCAAAGTCCTGACTCCCCTGGGCATCCACACCTGGGCACAGCGACAGGAGGATTTGGGGCTGAGCAACAGAGCGAGGCGAGGGTTTGCTCTGCTCACCCCGAGCGGCACGGGCAGAGCAGCCCCGGCTTGCTCCCAGTTTGCAGCAGCTCCGCTGAGAAATATCCCTGGGCACGGCAGAGACAAACCGCAGGCACTGGGAGCGGCGGGAGGCGGGTTCAAAATCAATAAAGGAGCAAAGTTGCATCCCCCTGTTGTGTCGTTAACAGGAGGCCCTGCGGGTGCTCGGAGGCCAGAGAGGTACAAAGGGGAATTCCTGGCAGGAAAAACTCCCAAAACTCCCCCAGCTGTTAAACATTAACACCTCCGCCCGGGTCAGCATGAGCCGGGGTTACTGGGGCTCTGAGAGGAATCGGGGTTCACAGCCCGGGGCGGTGAGCTGCCGGCTGAGCAGGGGTGTGCAGCCCCGGAGCCAAGCACAGACCCCCAAACCCCTCTGCCCCCAAACTCCTCTTGTCCTCTAGCCCCTCCTGCCCAAACCCCTCTTGCCTCCAAACTCCTCTTGTCCCCAAAGCCCTCCTGCCCCCAAACTCCTCTTGTCCCCAAACCCCTCTTGCCCCCCAACCCCTCTTGCCTCCAAACTCCTCTTGTTCCCAAGCCTCTCCTGCCCCTAACTCCCTCTTTCCCCCAAATCCCTCCTGCCCCCGAACTCCTCATGTCCCCAAACTCTTCTTGTCTCCAAACCCCTCTTGCCCCCAAACCCCTCCCTACCTTCGGCACCGGTTTGGGGACGGGGACGGGCTCAGCGCTGCACATCCCACCCGCTTTCCCCCCGCCATCCCCACGCAGCCCAAAAAGGCGGTGATCGCAAAAAAGCCGCCCCCCACCCCGATACTTTGCCGTCCTGCTCGCCGCCCCCCGCCCCGCTCCGGGGAGCAGCAGCCAGAGGGGCAGGGATGGGGGGGGGGAGGAGGTGGCGGGGGGCTGCCGCTGTGTGTGTCTGTGTCCCCCCACACCCCAGCACCCACCGGAGAGCCGCAGCGGGAGGAGGCTGAGCTGCCCGAGCAGGAGCCGAGCCGCGGCCATCGGCACTGCCCGACCCCGCGGGCTCCGGGCGAAGGAAAAGGAGAAGCTGCGCAGGAAATGGAGGCGAGCGGGCTGTTAACGCTTTTGGTGCCTGACCCACGGACGGGCGGGGCGGGGGGGGGGGGCAGCGGGGAAACCGGCCCCGAGGTTTCACCCCACCGAGGGCAGCGGCATCCGAGGGGTGCGCTGGGCAGCCCCCCCCCCCCCCCCCCCCCCCAGCTTCGGCTGCCCCACGGGACCCTCGGGGATGGCAGCCGCTGCCCCCCTCCATCCTGCTGACGAGGGTTGGGTGTCCCCACGGAGCCCCCGGGCCACGCGTGGGGGGAGCAGGATGGATCGGGGACCCTCTCGTCGGTTGCCCGGCGGCCGTGGCCCGTAGCCGTGGGGAGAGCTGGCCGGGACCAGGCTCGTGACGTGACACGGCGTGGACACTGCGGGGAAGCCTGACACTTGTGCGAAGGGTCTGTGGAGGAACTTGGGGGGTGGGGAGCCCCTTCCTTCCCCTTTGCTGGGAGAGAGTCCAGCACCCGGCCGAACCGAACCGAACCGAGCCGAGGCAAACTGAGCTGAGCTAAGTGCCTGGGGAGCAGGACATGGGAACCCCCACGGCTCCGGGGACGCGGGCGCTGCCTCTCGCCTGCCTGATGCTGCTCCTGCTCCGAGCCCCGGGTGAGTGGGGGCCCCGCAGAGCCCCAGCCCCCCTCCCACGGCACGCTCCCCCACGCTGCTGGCAGGGCAATCCTTCCCTGTGCCCGTGGGGTGGCTGGGGCTCTTCTCTCACTGCCTCCCTTCAACTTTTCTTTATCCCCAGCCAACGAGTTTGTTTTACTGCAGCATGTCCCAGGGGTCCCGGGCTCTCCCTGTCCTGCAGTCCCCAGCAGAGCTGGCTGCCCTGGGTGACAAGGGACGGGGGACAGCTCTCTGTCCCCTGCTCTGGGCTCAGGGCTGGGGGTCTGGTGACATCCTGTGCTGTTCGCTGGCTCCGGGGCCCCTTGTCAGCCCCAAATCCTCCTGTCGCTGTGCCCAGGTGTGGATGCCCAGGGGAGTCAGGACTTTGAGCTGCTGCAGCCCCAGGACAAGGTGTCGGTGGCAGCGGGGGACACGCTCACCCTGACCTGCACCATGTCCAGAGGCGGCCTCTTTGGCCCCGTGAAGTGGCTGAAGGGCTGGGGCAGCGGGAACGAGACCGTTTATGAGCAGACGGGCTCCTTCCCCCGCGTGACGAGGGCAGAGAATGGGTCCAACACAGACTTCACCATCCGCATCAGCGACGTTCAACCTGAGGATGCCGGCACCTATTACTGCGTGAAGTTCCGCAAATTGCTGGGCAGTGCTGATGAGGTGTTCCGGCGTGGAAAGGGCACGGTGGTGTCTGTGGATGGTGAGTGGGGCTCCCAGAGCAGCTCCCAGTGGGAACCAGCCCTGCTGGGTGCAGCCCCTGGCCCATCCCAGCCCGGTGGGCTCTGCTCTTGGGCTAGTGGGGATGGGGAAGGGGCTCGGGGGCCAGTCCCAGGAGGGGATCCTGTGGGCCGTCGTCCCTGGGTGCATCTGTGCCCCGTGGGTGACCCCGCTCCCCGGACTGATGGCCACACGCTTCGCCCCGTAGCCAACCCCACCCCGCTGGGTCCTGTCTGGGCCCACCTATAGTGTGGGGCCAGAGCAATCAGGGCTTTTCACCTGCACAATGCTCATATCCCCTGTCCCCACAGCAGGTGAGACCCTCCTGTCCAGCCCCATCCTGTGGCTTGGCATCCTGCTGGAGAAGGGGCTCCTCGGCGGCCTCCTCATCTTCCTCTTCAAGCGCAGGAGGCCGTGAGGATGGAAACACCGAGGTCACCGCCCCGTGTCAGCCCCTGGTTCCTCGGGGTTTGTCATGTGTATCTGGAAATAAAGGGCTGGGATGAACAGGCTGCTCGGGGCTGCTCCATGCTGCCAGGCCCAGCACCCTCCCCGCAGCAGGAGCTGGGGCAGCCGGGCAGCCCCTGGCTGCATCCCCAGGAGCGGCTGTGCCGCAAGACCCCCGGCGGGGCTCGGGGGGTGTCCCGGGGCTGGGCATGACCCATCCCCGGTGCTTGGCTCTGCCCATCCCAGTTCCCAGCCCTGCCTGTTCCAGCCCCCGGCCCTGCACTCCCAGCCCCCCGGCCCTGCACTCCCGGCCCCCGGCCCTGCACTCCCGGCCCCCGGCCCTGCACTCCCGGCCCCCGGCCCTGCACTCCCGGCCCCCGGCCCTGCACTCCCGGCCCCCAGGCCCTGCACTCCCGGCCCCCAGGCCCCGGCCCTGCACTCCCAGGCCCCGGCCCTGCACTCCCGGCCCCCGGCCCTGCACTCCGGCCCCGGCCCTGCACTCCCGGGCCCCCGGCCCTGCACTCCCGGGCCCCCGGCCCTGCACTCCCGGGCCCCCGGCCCTGCACTCCCGGGCCCCCGGCCCTGCACTCCCGGGCCCCCGGCCCTGCACTCCCGGCCCCCAGGCCCTGCACTCCCGGCTCCCGGCCCTGCACTCCCGGCCCCCAGGCCCTGCACTCCCGGCCCCCGGCCCTGCACTCCCGGCCCCAGGCCCTGCACTCCCGGCCCCCGGCCCTGCACTCCCAGGCCCCCGGCCCTGCACTCCCGGCCCTTCACTCCCGGCCCCCGGCCCTGCACTCCCGGCCCCCGGCCCTGCACTCCCGGCCCCCGGCCCTGCACTCCCGGCCCCCGGCCCTGCACTCCCGGCCCCCAGGCCCCGGCCCTGCACTCCCAGGCCCCGGCCCTGCACTCCCGGCCCCCGGCCCTGCACTCCCGGCCCCCGGCCCTGCACTCCGGCCCCCGGCCCTGCACTCCCGGCCCCCGGCCCTGCACTCCCGGGCCCCCGGCCCTGCACTCCCGGGCCCCCGGCCCTGCACTCCCGGCCCCCGGCCCTGCACTCCCGGCCCCCGGCCCTGCACTCCCAGGCCCCCGGCCCTGCACTCCCGGCCCCCAGGCCCTGCACTCCCGGCTCCCGGCCCTGCACTCCCGGCCCCCAGGCCCTGCACTCCCGGCCCCAGGCCCTGCACTCCCGGCCCCCGGCCCTGCACTCCCGGCCCCAGGCCCTGCACTCCCGGCCCCCGGCCCTGCACTCCCAGGCCCCCGGCCCTGCACTCCCGGCCCTGCACTCCCGGCCCCCGGCCCTGCACTCCCGGCCCCCGGCCCTGCACTCCCGGCCCCCGGCCCTGCACTCCCGGCCCCCGGCCCTGCACTCCCGGCCCCCGGCCCTGCACTCCCGGCCCCCGGCCCTGCACTCCCGGCCCCCGGCCCTGCACTCCCGGCCCCCGGCCCTGCACTCCCGGCCCCCGGCCCTGCACTCCCGGCCCCCGGCCCTGCACTCCCGGCCCCCAGGCCCCGGCCCTGCACTCCCAGGCCCCGGCCCTGCACTCCCGGCCCCCGGCCCTGCACTCCCGGCCCCCGGCCCTGCACTCCCGGCCCCCAGGCCCCGGCCCTGCACTCCCAGGCCCCGGCCCTGCACTCCCGGCCCCCGGCCCTGCACTCCCGGCCCCCGGCCCTGCACTCCCGGCCCCCGGCCCTGCACTCCCGGCCCCCGGCCCTGCACTCCCGGCCCCCAGGCCCCGGCCCTGCACTCCCAGGCCCCGGCCCTGCACTCCCGGCCCCCGGCCCTGCACTCCCGGCCCCCGGCCCTGCACTCCCGGCCCCCGGCCCTGCACTCCCAGCTCCCGGCTCTGTCCGTCCCAGTGCCCGGCGCGGCGCATCGCACCTCCGGTCCGCCAGGGGCCGCTGTGACGCCTCAGGGCGGTGCGCCGTTGCCGTGCTGTGTTTCCGCCCGGGAGCGTTTCGCGGCGCACGCGGGGCGGGGCGGGGCGGGGCGGGGCTGGCGCGGGCGCCGGCGGGCTTTGGCTGCTGCACCGCGGCAAGATGGCGGACAGGGAGGAGGCGCTGAGGGAGTTTGTGGCCGTGACTGGCGTCGAGGAGGAGCGGGCGCGCTTCTTCCTGGAGTCCGCCGGCTGGGACCTCCAGGTAGCCCCGCCGCCGTCCCGCTCCCCTCCGCCGTCTCCGTCCGGGCTCGGTGGCGGGGCCGCGGCCGTGGCGGCGGCGGGGGCTGCGGCCCTGGAGGCCGTGGCGGCGGCGGGGGGGAGCGCTGGGCCGGCGGCTCGGCCTCCTGCGGGCTCAGGCCAAGCCCCGCGGCTGTTCCCCAAGTCCCCGGCCCGTCGTCGGGCTGCGAGGGTCGGGCTCGGCCGGTGCCCCGCGTCTGGGGGCTGCTTGGGGCCGGAGCCCGGCCTGGTGCTCTCGTTAATTCGAACATAGCTCGTGTCTGGCACAGGGTGAGGAACCGCCGGGTTCTGGGTTTTGCCGGGCTTGCATAGATTTTCCTTGAACGCTCTCCTGGTTGTTAGTGCAGCATTGTGCATAGTGCCCCAGCCACCCCCAAATTAAGGGGAGATCGGCCACCACTCTGACCTGCTCCTGGCTCTAGCAGTGTTAAACTCAGAGTCTAAAAAGCAGCTGTTTCACAACAGTAATTTTAGCATAAGCCCTGTAGAAATTTTGGGTGTCCTGGCGGGGAAGTTGCTCTGGCTTACCCGTACTGGTGAGTCTCCTGCCATAACAGAGCCAAACATCAGAAGCTGACAAAGCCTCCTCTTTGCTGGGACCCCCAAATAGGGGAATTACATGAAACATCTTTAGTGTTGATGTGCCTTAGGAGGTCCAGTGCGACAGAAGCTTCAGCCTGGTGGTTTGTGTGTGGTCTTGCCGTTGTTCTGGCATGTTTGCTCTCGTCCTGACACGTATTCCTCCCCAGATTGCGCTGGCCAGTTTCTACGAGGACGGGGGTGATGAGGACATTCTGACCCTTCCCCAGCCGACACCCAGCTCTATATCCAGAGGCACTGCACCCAGGTGAGGAGGGAGCTTGTAAACCTGACAGCGAAAACTGTGTGAAAACGCGAGGTCTGTCTAAAGCATCAGTGCTTTAATTTTCAGGAGAAATAGTTCTGTGTTTAGATCTGCTTCGTGTCGTATGGCTCCCTAGAAATTGTGAAAACCTCAGCGTTTATACATCGTAAGCACAGGTGCTACTGCACAGCTAATCCAAAGATCAGTGAGGATAACTTGCCTCGTTGGTCTGGAAAAACTTGATTTGTCTTTTGATGTTAGAAGACAGTCAGTTGGTGATGCTTTAATTTGAGCAGGTTGTATCTCCACGGGAAAAATCTGCTCTTTTGTGTGACATCTGATCTGATCAAGTTGAGCATTTACAAAAAGAAGTTAATTTTGCCTTAGCAAATCCCTGTGCCGTAGGGAAACACTAGCCAGGTTTAAAGAGGAGTTACTGCCCATGTAGTGAAGGAGAAGCGCTCTCAGTTCAGGCTTTGGTGAATGAAGTCCATATCACAGAAGAACCCCGTTTCAGTTCGGATCACAGCTAACAGCCTCGGCAGAAACAAGAGGGGAAGGATGTGGAGGCTGGACTGTCCTAGAAGAGAAACCTCTGCTTGTGCAGGTTCGGAGGCAGCAGCTTTTTGGAAGAGGCGACAAAATCCAGTACAGGAGCAAGGAAGGTGAAGACTCGCTGCTTTTTCTGTGGCTGCAGCCACTGTCTCTGCCTCCTCCAGTGCCCCTGCTCTGGTTTTCCATTGGTGTAGCTGGCAGAGAGGTCCAAGAGCTCAGTTCCCCCCTCGGTTCCACCAGTGCTGACCTGTCATTTCATAGAGCAGTGAATCAGACCCTAAAAGTAGAACGGGGTCAACTGAACTGCTGCGTTCGGGAGCTTTTGTTTATGTGGTTGAAATGTGTCACGAGCCTGACGTACTTCTCCGATTGACTTTTGCAGTGACCACAGAGTAACGTCGTTTAGAGACCTTGTTCATGCGCAGGAGGATGATGATGAAGAGGAGGAGGGACAGCGGTAAGTTTCCAGTTAAAGACTTAAAACCCGGGTGTTCATCCCTGCCCTTTTGTGATGGCTTACCACCTGTGTACAGGGTTTTTTAAAAAGCAGATTTAAGTCGAAATGAAATTCCTGTAGTGAAAAATCTCAGGTTTGACACGGAAAGGTTGGTCAGTGCAACGTCTGTGCACAGGCACGTGCTCAGCATGGCCGGATAAGCAGCAGTTTTCATTGCTGAATTGTGCTGTTGAGAGAAAGCCTGAGGCAGGATGTGGAAGCCCTCGGCTAAGAACAGAAAAAAGCCCAGATCATAATTTGTGGCCACAGAGAACGGAAATGTGGGAATAATGCAGTGATTGGTTTTCTTTCAGCTTGAGGTTTTGGGGGTGTTTTGGTTGGGGTTTTTGGTTTGGGTTGGTTTTTTTTTTGAAGCGCTGCTTAAGGGTAATGTAATGGAGTGTGGAGGTGGAAAGAAAAATGTAGGTCCCCTTTCCAGTGGGAACATGGCATGCTAGTGGGAAAGTCATCTACGATGTCAGCTGTAAGTAGCTAAATACCCTTCAGGTCAGCAGGCAAGGTAATTTGAAGGGAAGTGATGTGTCTTAAGGTGGATCAGTCTAGGTAGACTGCCTGGTCTTCTGCAAACAGAAGTGAGCTGGCTCTGGAGGTGTTACAAGCCATCTGGAAGCTCATAAACCTGGTCTTCCAGAAGTGCTTAATTGCACTTCACCTACTGTGCACTAATTGCTTCCTGTTCAGATCTGTCCTGTATGTGGTGATCTTTCAGCGTGGCATGCGCATGTGCCTTCCCTCAAAATACCAGTTAGATGTTGCCCATCTTCCATCTGACAGGTCAGAGACTTGCTGGAAGCCTTGTTCAGCTTGCTAATACAGCTGGTACTGGCATTTGAGACTGAGCCTTGTCAGTCTGGACTGTTTCTCTTGCTAGATCAAAGAGTTGTCATCACTTTATTGCTGTTGATCAATGGATAATTTTACAGTGAGTGACATAAAAAGAAAGTCTCTGCAGTACAGGAACTTGTAAGTG